AAGACCAACACTCAGAATTGTCTTCTGTCCCCCACATGCATGTGTGCACCTGAACACAAACATTCATAAACATGCACACGCACACACACACACATACACACACACAGAGAAAACCAAAACCCAAACCAAACGAACTATGTGGAGATTCCATCTTTCCCCAGTCAGAATGGTTCTGGTAAAACAGAAAACTGAGAACAAACGCTGGTGTGCAAGGACTGGGTGGTGGTGTCAATGGAATCTTATATGTTGTTCTTGGGAGTGTCAGCTGCACACCCATTATGGACACCATTGTTGAGGTCCCCAAGAAAACTAAGAATAGAACTCTCATATGGCCCAGCTATTCCACACCTGGGTACATAGCCAGAGGACTCCAAAGTGAGCATGTCACAGAGGTGCTTGTCCATCTACGTTTATTGCAGCACTGTGTCCACAGCAGTGAAGTTATGGGCTCTGCCTAGATGTCCACCAACACATGTGCAGATAAAACAAAAGTGGAATAGAATGCATACACAATGGAATTTTATTAAGCCATAAAGGAGAACAAAAATTTTGGCATTTGCAGAAAGATGGATTGAATGCAAGATCACGTTATAAGAAATTGTGCTCAGAAAAATAAATATCAGATGTTTTCTTTCATATGTAGATTGTAAGTTTACACACACACACACACACACACACACACAGCATGAAAGTCAGAAGGGGAGAGATGGACAAGAGAGTGATGTGAGGGTAAATTTGAACAGAGCACACTATATACTTGTACAGAAATGCCATATGAAACCTGGGATTTCTACAATAAATATATATGAAAAGCAAAACTATAATAATAATAAAAAAGGCCACCCCTATGGCAGGAATTAGACTCTGTCACCATCTGTGAATGATGCCCCCTCCCATGCATTCTTGTCCATACAAAGAGAGAAGTGACTGAGGGATACACCTCAGCAGAGATAGACAAACTGCCCAAGGTTGCTTCTGGAGACAAGAACTGAATTTCACACTTGCCCACCTGCAGTTTCTAGGGGCTTCGGGTGACACTGACCACTTAGCCATGGGAATCAGGACTTTTCTGTTTTGTAGGGTCCAGGCTGCTTTCTGAAGGAGCTGTAGGTAGGAATTTGAAAGTCTGGGATCCAGGAGTCACTCAGTACCTCCTACACTCCTGACTTCCTTCACAACACAGTGGCCACATACCTAGCCCTGCCTCAGGAAGGTGGGCAAGAATAAAGCCACGTGTAGAGGAGTGCACTTCGGAATACAGACTAAAACACTTTGCCTGTGCAAAGTTTTTCCACTTATTCGTGTGTTGTTTTTCCACTTACTCATGTGTTGGTACATGTGTGTATCTGTGTATGCATGGATGATTGTGCCACAGGACACACGTAGCTGTAATGAGAGCTCTAAAATGAAGTCAGTTCTCTTCTTTCACATGTGGGTTCCGAGGGTTAAAGTCAAACCGGGTGGCAAGTCACTTTACCAATTGAGTCACCTCACTGGCCCACCCTCTCTGCTTTTTGTCAAAGATGAAAAGGCGATTGTCATCCTGATCTCCTGATCCCTTGCTCATAAACACTTCAGTTTGGGAATGCGGTTTTAAGATTGTCTAAGACCCCAAATGAAGCTGTTTCATCTAGTTGCTGTGAGAAATGGGACTGGTCATATTGGAGGTTTGCAAGTGCTTTCCTTAGTCATATCCTTTGTTAAACCGAGGCACCTGCTTTGTCCCCGTCTATGATACAGTTTTTTTATTATGACAGCACTGTAACCATGTGACCTAAAACACTCAACACCAATCAAGCTATGAAACACGTTGAGCGTCCTTTGGCTGCCTTGAAACTGACAGCACATTTCCTCATTCTTGTCACAAGTTGAAAGCATGCATGTGTTTTTAAAAACACAGCAATTATAGAGTATAAACAAGTAGAGTGCAATTTTTGATTGATTTTTTTTTTATACAATAAGCATTTTTTCATCTAAGTTTGCATGACTCTCCTGCTTTACCACTGACAAGCCTGGTCCTGGGAAACTCCTCAGTCTAGGAGTTAGAGCCCTGCCTACCTATCTGGGAAAAGCCGGAGGATGTGTACATGTGTACATCTTGCATTGTCTGCAGGAGTGTGGGTTCAGGCATGGCCCTGAGATCTCCGTGTCTCTCTAGATGTGAGTAAATGGTACATGCTCATGGCTTCCAGACTACACATACCTGCGTTCTCAGCTCATGGGTGCTGCATCTGGGGCATTTTCGCCCATTCATTCAGTCTAGAGGTTGCCTGATAAAGACCAAGAAGCCACCCACCTTAACTCCAGGGTGTGACTGGTGTGAATGTGTGTTGAAAACCTGGAGAATCTGGAAAACCTTTGAGAAATGGCAGTAACATACAGCGTCTGCTGAAGAAGATGGAGCATGCGGCTCACAGGCTTCCGTTATTCCTGACTTTTTGTTATTCCTGTTGGCGGGTACCATTCACGTTCAGGGCAAATGTTTCCTGACTCAGTTCACTAACCTACATGCTGGTTGCCTCTAGAAACATCCTCATAGATGCATGTGGAAGTAGGCTTTAGCAAAAAGCCAAGTTGGCAGCCATGATGGTCACAACCGTTTATTTAATTTCTCTTTTGCTGCATTTGATTTCTGTGCCTTTTAGGAATTTTAAAGTGTGTTCCTTGCTTTGAAAAGGAAGGCTATTCATTGGCCCCCACAGTGAGTCTTCTGCATCACTTCACACACAAAATTGTGCATGTTGGTCCTCACTACCTTGTCCCAGAGTGTTGGTGTTCTCGTTTGTGAAGAGTTTGGAATGGTAAGGAAAGCAGCTCAGGGGTGGGCTGTGTCTCAGTTCAGATCAGCAAACGCATGCTGCAATTCTGTGCAGACAAGCCCCTGTAAGCTATGACTTTTGTTATTGTCCCCTAAGATTGAAAAGAGAAACAAGGGAACAACCTTACGTTGGCTTCTAAGGTACAGTGATGATAAAAAGGTCGCTTCCAGGGACCCATCTGGGAGAAGATGCTAGCTCATAGCATGGCCATGGACAGCCCAGATGAGCAGACAACCTGACGAATTGCTAATTAATCAGCATCTTTTCATTGAACTCTGGGAGGAGAATTACTTTGAATGTGATTATCTTTGTTAATCAGCCCTAATGAGGCCTTCCTAGAATAGTGAAGCATTTGAGCCTTGTTCACTGGTACCCATCACATGTAATTGTTTCCATACTTTTGGCTGAAACAGCTGTACAAGGCTTTGCACAGACCATAAGTACTAGAAGCCTTTGAGGCAGTGTTTTGTATAAACAATGCAAATATTTTATTGCTCAGTTGAGTCAGATCTTTACAAATGGCCTTAAATCTATCAAGGACTTTTTCCTGTGGGTTCCTGTGTAGGAGAAGGGGTGGCGGTGGCAGCTGAGCAACATGAAAGACTGAGTGTTGCTGTGGTGGAGGTCCAGGACTCTTTCATCTTAGCCAGAATCCTATCCCATCTCTGTTTGAGGGTTGGGAGTGTGTCAAAGTCCTGGGCTTTTTAATTACATTTAAGCCTTTTAGGAAGCTGTGCCATGCAGAGCTGGAAACATATGCAGCAAACACTTGATATCCAATTTGAGGACCTGAACCAAAGGTCTCCACTCAGGCCAAGGCAGAGCCTGGGAGTAGGTCAAAGCTGTACAGAGCCTAGGAAAACCTCTCGATCGGGCAAAGTGGCAATGCTTTATGATCATCAGGACCTTGTTAGTACCATGTGAACAATGTCAGGAGATTGTCAAACAAAGGAGGGAGTCGCTCAGGTCTCCACCGTGGAAATTAATGAACCACATTATTTTCCAAACTTTTCATTCCATATATGTGTGTTTGTATGTACGTTGAGTAAGGGAATTGTAATCTGGCTTCTGTTTGACTTTCAGCTTTCACACTTCAGTTCCATGATAAGCATATCCCACCTTACTTCATGGCTCAACCAAATACTTACATGATTTACACCATCCCATAGAATTCCTGTACCACTGCGCATTTAGCTCTGCACCAGTTACAAGATGTTGGGTTTTGTTAAGGTCTTGGTTATAATCAGACTCAAGGAGCATAGTTAAATGAATTTTTTTTTCTAGAGTGAATTTGACAAAATAGGGTTACTGGGAACAGAAAGTATCCATACCTCTGAACCCTTGACATGTAAACTATTGAATTGTGTGGAGAGAAGGAAAGCCACCCCAGCATTCTTTATGGTATCCATTCATATGGGAGGAAAAGGTGTGTTCTGGAATGGAAGGGCTCCCCTCACTGTGGATGAGCGGCCATCACAGTAAAGCAAAGAAGTCTTGGTAATGTCCCGGGGTCAACGGATTTGAGAACTTCTGTCTGTCTTTCTATTTGAAGAAGCTGTAGTTGCTACCAATGACATAGGAGGCCCAAGCAATGTAAAATTCCAAGTAGAGCATTCCTTGGTTCCATTAAAATATAACTTCCCTCTAGACAGCCAAGTGAGTTGTCCAAGCCTACATGAACACACACACACACACACACACACACACACACACACACACACACACACACACACACACACACACTGGGCTTTGACATTTGCTTAAACCTTTTAAGAAGGCTGCATTATGAAGGCAGAAAGAGCATCCACAGTGAAATTCAATTTGAGGACTCAACCGAAGGGCTCCATTCCGGTCAAATTGGAGACTGAAGAAATCAACATTGTACAGAGTCCAGAAAAGGCTCTTTGCTTATCTTTTGGGACACAGTTGTCTGTTGACTATGATGAATTAAGTTTGGAAGGATGCATTGGCTAAGACAGGACCAGAGTTTCTTTCAGGTTGTTGGTGTGTGTGGTGACCTGGACGGAAGTGAGCCTCAGATCTGTGAGGCTAGCCTCTTGGGACACTGGCTCCAAAGCTCAGGTTCCCAAGTCTGACTCATGTTCACCCTCTGTTCCTGAGTTTGCTCCTTGTTTTTTCCCTCTGAATTCCATACTTGCTGAGGGCTGGACTTCATTTCAGGTTCTGCTCTACAATGGCCAACTAGACATCATCGTGGCAGCAGCCCTGACAGAGCGCTCCTTGCTGGCCATGGATTGGAATGGATCACAGAAATACAAAAAGGCCAAAAAAGTGGTTTGGAAGATCTTCAAATCTGATAATGACGTGGCTGGTTATGTGCGAAGCGTGGATAAATTCCACCAGGTATGCAGTTGGGGAGCAGGTTGTGGGAGTGAATTATTTGCTGTCTTTTTATTTTTTTTATTTTTTTATTTTTTTTTTTGGTTTTTCGAGACAGGGTTTCTCTGTGTAGCTTTGCGCCTTTCCTGGGACTCGCTTGGTAGCCCAGGCTGGCCTCGAACTCACAGAGATCCGCCTGGCTCTGCCTCCCGAGTGCTGAGATTAAAGGCGTGCGCCACCACCGCCCGGCTGCTGTCTTTTTAAATTCTTTAAAATGGAGGCCTAGAATACAAAGCTTTTGCCTTCACTTTATACGTGCGCTCAACGGATGTTATATCTGTGTTAAGCTTGGTCTTAAGTGTACACAAAAATTCATTACAGTTTTATTGAGCTGAGGCATTCATAATTTCCATTGTATTTTATCCCCTTTGGCCAGTATATTATTTTAAAGTGCATTGATTAATTTTTAATGATTTCGACTCTTCCATTCTTGTATTTATTATAAACTAAAGGGAATACACTCTATTGTAGCTTTGTAGTTTAAAAGCCCACATATCTTTATAATTTCAACCATTTGAAATTTACTTTCTGGCCCTCGAAGTGGTTATTTTTGGCAAATATTCCCTGTATACTTTTAAAGCGATTTCATTCTTCAGTTGCTAGTTGTAATGCTTTTTATGTCAATCAAAGTCTTTTGAAAAACATTTTTACACTTATTATTTTGAGAATTTACATCACTTCCACTCACCCTTCCCACATGCTCCCTGTGTCCCCAAACTCCCTCTCAAATTTACAGCTTCTTCTTTAATTATTATTGGTATATATGCACATACATGCATACGTATAAACAAATATAGCCTGCTGAGTCCATTTAGCATTGCTTATATGTTTATGTATTTAAGACTGACCACATGAGAGTGGATAACCTAATGGAGGGCTCATCCCTGGAGAAGACTCATTCACTCTCTCTTATCAGCCATTAATTGACTATAGCTCTTCACCAGGATTGGGGCCTTATGAGATGTCCTCCATCTGTGTTGGAATGTCAACTAGTGTTGTCATTGTGTGAGTCTTGTTTAGGTGACCATATTGTTAATGTCATGGGCGTTACTCTCTGTCTTCTATAGCAGACACTATCCGGAAGCAGATGTCCTGGTCCTCTGGCTCTTCCAATCTTTCCAGGCCCTCTTCTACAGTGTTCCCTGAGCTTTGGGTGTCGGGGTTTTGTTGTCAATGGGCACCCTACAGTCAGTTGTTCTCTGCATTTGATCAGCTATAGATTTCTGTGATGTCTCTGTCTCTCTCCCCCAACTACCCTTCTGTGTCCCATAGCTGACAAGAGAGATCTCTTAAAATCTCCCACTGTGATTGAAGACTGTTCTATTTTTCCTTTTACGTTGTGCTGCTAACTGCATACAGCCATAGAATCTCTGTTACACATTCCTGGCACTAAATATTCCTTTTCCCGTGAACTGTCTTCTTTGTTTGTAGTAATGCTTCTCATCTTAAAGTCAATTTGATTGATAGTAGTGTAACTACACGAAGTTTCTTTTGAAAGTGTGCATGTGGGATACCTTTTTTTTTTTTTTCAGAATTTCCCTGTCATTTTACGGCATCCTATTTGAGACATGTTTCTCTTACACAGTATAATGTGTTTTATTTTTTGTGGATCCCAACAATATTTTAAATTTGAAATCATACATTTGCATTTAAAGTAATTACTGATTTTTTTTATAGGATCTACTGTCTTGTTATATGGTTTTTATTTGTTCCCTTTGGGTCTATATTTCTGTTTCTTTTAGTTTTAACTCCTTAGAGTTTTATGTCATTTTGTTTCCATCAATAGATCTGTGAGCTATTATTCTTTTGAAATTGCTTTATAATAGTACCAGCACAATATGGATGCTAGGCTTACTTAATGCTAATATAAATTAGAATTTTACTATTTTCCAGACAAATGTGAGAACCTCATAATATTTTATGCTTTACCTATGCTCCTGTTTTTTGCTATTAAAAAGCAATTCTATATCTGGTTTAAACAGGCATTATTTACAGCATTTGATCCAGCCAGTACTCACTGAGAATTCACTACACATTTAACCTGTCAGCTGCCATCATGTTCCGTGCATTTCTTGTCCCCTCACAAAAACCCTTAAGCACTTATTTTAGAAATGTGTGTTGACATCATGTTCTCTATTTTTGTCTTTAAGTGTTGTTCTCTCAGCTTTGATTGGGAAGGCCACGTCCCATGCAATGGGAGGCTGCCATGGATTGGGCTGGTCATATCCCATGCAATGGGAGGCTTTCATTGATTGTGATGGTCATATCCCATGCAATGGAAGGCTTTCATTGATTGTGATGGTCTTGTCCCATGCAATAGGAGGCTGGCTTTGATTGAGAAAGACTGAAAGCTATATCTCATGAAATGGAATAATTTAATTGTTTTCCCCGAGCTCCTGAAGGCTGTGACTTCTGTCCTGTCCTGCACCCTTGTGATGAGGAGTCAGATATTAGCTTTTTTTTATGCCACTTTGAAGGTGATTTGTGTTTTGTTCTGCATAATGCCTTTCAAGATGATCTCTGTCTTGTTTTCCAGCAATTCTACTGCTTGAACCCAAAAGGTATTAATATGGGTGTCCTTGTTGTTGTTGTCATTGAGTGGTTTATTTTTTTCTGACTTGATAAAAACTGTCCCTATCAGAATGGCCTGTAAACAAGCCTGTAGGACATTTCTTTCTATCTATCCATCCATCTATCTATCTATCTATCTATCTATCTATCTATCTATCTTTCTATCTTTCTATCTACCTTCCTACCTACCTATCTATTCGGTTAATGATTGAAATGCGAGTGTCCGGCCCACTGTGGTGGTGCTACCTCTGGGCATAAGAAAGGAAACTGGGAAGCAAGCAGCACTCCTCCCTGGCTTCCGTCTCACTTCCTGCCTCCAGGTTCCTGCCTTGAGTTAGTTCCTGTCCTGGCTTCCTGCAGTGATCCACAGTTACCAAGAAGTGTAAGCTGAAGTGAACCCTTTCCTCTCCATGTTGCTTTCGGCCATGGTCCTTCTCACACCAGCAGAAAGCTAACTAGAACACTGGGTATGCATCCTGCCTGGGTTTCTTAAGCATGCAGAAACTATAATTTGAGGAGTTTGTTGTTCATGTTGTTATATTTATAAAATTCTCAGCCTCTATTTCTTAACGGGATGGTCATGTGCCATTGTCTCTTTTTTCTCCTTCTAAGACTGTCTTTAGGTGTTGGGTGTTCACCCTGCTAAGACCCTGGGTTTGGTTCCTACCACTAGAAAGAGAGAAAGAAAATCACCAAAAGATCTCCAAAATACCACCCCCCAAAACCCAGAAATGAAGACCATGTCCCACACTTCTGTACATACATGCACAAGCACACACATTCAATTGCTCTAACCCTACACCATGTGACTGCATTGTGGAAATAGGACCTACAGGTTATAATTAAGGTCAAATGAATATATCAGGTAGTGCTTTTCTTTAATGTCTGTCTTGCCCTCATAAGAAGAGACACCAGAGATGTGCTCCATGGCACAGATAGATGGCTACTAACTGCAAGACCAGAGAGTATCATCTCCAGAAGTGGAATTAGTGCCTGGATTATCAGCTTCTCAGGCATCCCTTCTGTGGTTCCTGCCAGGAACCTTTGAGACGATTCAGCTATGTTAATACACATATAGCACTACTGACTCACAACAAATGTTGCTGTTTCTACTTTTATTGCTATTACCTGGATTGCTTAAAGAATGCATACAGCAAATGGAAAATTATAAACAGTGAAATTCATGATCTAAGAAAGTATTTTTCATTCAAAACCAACCCATAAGGGAAAGCTAGGTATTAATATTTGGGTCACAGAGGCAAATATGCACAGTGAGCTGTGAAGGGCAGATAGATGGTAACTTCTTCACCCACCATGCTCCTCTTAGTGATGCAATCTCAGAAGCACACACAGGTCTCCCCAGTCACCTGTCGCTGCATGCCCCCCATCAGCCTTGTGAATTGCTCCAGTACCTGAGACTGCACACACATGTCCTTCTTGCATCTTGCACAAAACTACCAACTTAGGAAGCCAGATGGATGCTCAGGGCAGTGTGTATCACAGAGGCAGAAAAAGGAATTAACTACCAGCCAGAAACCTGTAGCCAGTATCACTCTAAGCCATCTGATTCTTCCTGTGAAGGCAAGAACATGGAAAGACAAAAGAATCAGGAGGCCCACCTATGTTATCTATAGAGAGGGGTTGCCTCACAGATGGGAACCTGAATTCTGCATATGCAATTTGAGCATGCTGGGAGGACACCTCCCTCCCCTCGGTGCCTTGGAACTACCTGGTGGTTATGGAGATGAGGGACTGGAGGAGAGTAAGGAGGTCCTAGGTGAACAAAGGTATTCTCTGTGAGGCTCAGCTCTGGGAGTACAGTCCAAGCACCCGATGATGAAGAAAACTGGCCCTAGCCATGGACTTCAGACACACAAGACAGTATGTGCATGCGTCTGCCAGGGAGAGACCACGGTCTCTACAGGACACCATGGCTCTTAATTAAAAAAAACAAAAACAAAGGAGACTTGTCTCCACATGAGTACCCAAAATGCTCACTTAAAGGGGTGGCAGGTCTCCTAGTGGGGCCAGGGGCTGAGAAGAAGGCTCACCCCAGCTTCTCCATGTCCCATATTACCAGGAAACTGTGCTACTGCACCTCCAGCAAGGCTTCAGAAGACAGGGAGAGCGCTTCTCTGTCCCACTGTGGGTTCTGCTCAGAGAAGACAAGTCTTTGATGTTTGGGGCATGGCAAACAGCAGCCCAGTTAGTCATTCAGCTTGGGGCAACAGAGTTTCTGAGTCTCAGTTTGTCTGGAAAATGCAGGCTCTGGAGTAAATAGTCTCTAATATGGCCTCTAACGAAAACGTGAACTATTTTTCATGAATGTCCAAGGGTGTCCCACAGTTAGTAAGAAACGTAGGAGCCTGGGGAGATGGCTCAGTGGGTAAAAG